TTCTAAGGGCTACTTTACAAGGATATTATTATTCTTTAATAGAAAGGTTTTACACAAAAGACCATAGAGAAGGAGATTTAACTTAATCTCATGATTCCAGTTACGTGATAAATACAACAGGTAAGAAAATACCTCTGTAACATGTAGAGGTCAGTGTCCAATAACCATGGGTGCCTTGTGTATCACAGCAGGACAGCAGTTTTCACAGAAGCTGTCACAGCTTTATTTAGGCTGAGGGACAGACCACACAAGGGTGGCAAGGTGCCTAGAAGGGGACTTGTTTACTTCCCAAATTTTCCTCTCAGGCAAGTAGTTGGATGAAAATGAGGGCTTGAAATTCCAGCAGCTATAGCAAGTATTACAAAAAATAAATAGACAGTCAAGGTCTTCCGGAGTACATTATGGCAGTGGCCTTTGACTGAGAGGCTGCTTCCCTGAGACTGCTCAGGTGCTGCTCGAAATGCAGAGGAGGTGACCAATACTTTTAGCCCATTTGTTCCAGTGAAGTGTAGTTCCACAGAGACTTAAAATCACTTCTCTTCATTGGTATTTTGGGAGGCCAAACTGGTTATTAGTTAACAGCAGCTCCAACACATGCCCTGTCCTTGGTGGGCAGACTTGGCAGGAAAGCTATGAGAAAGGGGCTGATATTACTAAACAGCAGTTGCTATGGATTTCTGAGTTCAAGAACGGGGAAAAAAACCTGCAAATTGTGCCACGTGTTTTAGAATCACCTGGATCTTTGTATTTCAGCCTAACAATCGTTTGTCTGTCTAGCCTTGGGGAGGCTCTTTTAGATACCTCAATCTGCCAAATCCCAGCCTGCAGTGAGCCTTCTAAAACACATGCTAACAGCCAGAATTAGAACCAGCAGAGAACAGGAGAGAGGAAAACAACAGCTTCAAATATAACTCAGAGAAACCTGAACAGACCTTCTGTCCCAAAGCAGAGTAACTTTGGAGTAAGAGAGGTATATTTATTCTTGACATGTATTTGTCTAATTTTGCAAACCCCTGATAAAAGTCATTCTATGGTATGGAATCTGTTCAGGGCTCACCTATTCTGACAGACACAGTTTCTCCTTATAAAAGTAACCTTCCTTTCCTGCAAAATTTCTATGCCATTCTTTGATAAGAATCACTTTAAAAAAAAAAAAAAAAAGCATGCTACTCTATTTCCTTTAAATAAAATATCATCTAACTTTTATCTTTGCTTTTCCCTGGGCCTAAACAACACCAGAACTGTCCTTGTGCCCTTCTTTGGGCTAACTGCATATATTGTTCTGACTAATTTATAATTTCAAGGGCAAAACTTGTCAGGGTCATTAATACATTTCTGGATAGTCCTAAAGCCTGCCCTTTCTCTGTTCTGGCTTGTACTCCTTGCTAATTACCTTTAGTATCTGAGTCTTTCTGGTGATGACAGAAACCAAGGCAGCAATTTACAAGTCTGCTAACACCCCAGTGCTTCACAGCAAACACCTCTCCGAATGTAAAATCCCTGCAGGACATTGTTTTCTGTGGATATCCCAGTGCAGATTTAGCTTTGGCCTCTGCTCAGCAGTTCCTTGAGGGGTTAAGTAGTTGATTGTAATGATGTAAACTGGAATTTAGCCAGGGCAGCAAGGTCACTCGCCTCCAAGGTTGCAAAAGACATTAAATTATACTCTGAACAGCTCTGCATTTTAACTACTTCACTAACATAAAGGGGTGAGCTTGTCACAGTAGTCTCTTCACAAGATGAAATCATTATTAGAGGGCAGAAATCATGAGCAATATTTGTGTTTGTACTGTAAAGCCAACTCAGGATGAAATCCCTACTCTTCAGAAATCCCTGACAAAGCATCCTTTGACTTTATAGCCCAGGGTCACAAAATCACATTGCCAACAACAAGTTAAAGTACTAAATCTTAAAATACTGCTATAAGCAGTGTTCTGAGATGTATGTGTGGTTTGAAAGTGAATGTAGCCCAGGCTTCTTACAAAGAATTTCTTGTTAATATGGTTGGTAACAGAGGGAATGAAGCCCTTTAGGTAAATATCATCATGTGGCTGTAAGGAAAGTTCCCACACAGCTGGAACCTGTGCATCAGCAGTTCCTGAGGCTGTGGGTTTCTCAAACTCTTTGAACACATAAGTGGCCTCCATGGAAAGAAGCATTCCCACCTCCCAGCTAACATCTGCTGCCTGTTGCTGTATCCCCTGTGCCAATACAAGCTCCCATTGCCTGTGTGGGGAACTGGCTGGGGGAAAAAATCTGCTTATAATGAAACCAGCTAATACATTAATAAATAGCTTAAGATGTTCACAGAACTGCAGTTGCACTGTGAACAGGGCAGGACTTTTCTTCAAGAGGTTTTTTATGCTCATAACATGGAGTTTTAATGTTATACATCCAAGCCCCACTTGTTTGTCCCAGAGCCTGTCCCTTGTGCTAGGAGAGCTGCAACCACACCTCGAACATTCCCAAGAGATGTTTGTTTGGTGTGATACCCGAGACAGGTCAGCTCTCATGCAGCAATTTCTGGTTTCCCCTTACACCCGCTTCCTCCTCTCCCAAAATAATAGGTAAATAAACAAATAAAGCAGTGGCCAGCAGTTCAAAGAAAATACTTTTAGACTGATGGCATTAAACTGCTGAGGGTGATTATTCTATTAGCTTCTAAATGAAAACTGTTAAAAAATGGTGAGTTTTTTAACATGTAAGGAAGTATCATTACTGGAGCCATGACCTTTGTCCTCTGTTGACCTTTCCAGATGCAGCTGTGTAACTAAGAATTAGCTTATCATTCAAGAGCACACATTGCAGCCATCAACTCATCTGATTTCTTCATGAGAGCAGCAACAAAAGAGCAGGTAGAAGGCAGTGCCCAGAAAAGCAAGTTTTTGCTAGTTTTTCAAAATGGTTTTCTTATACTGCTAGCTCCTTTATTTTAAACCAGCAAAATTATCCCAGCCATTAAGCTGGTTATCAGTTACTGTAATTGGCGCTTCAACTTATGTTTGTTTGCAATGCTACTTAGTTTATTAGATTTTTATATTCAAGACTGTGATCAAAGCTTTGAATATCTTGGCTATTTGATTTCCTTTAGTGACCAAAGGAGTTTTCATTTTTTCCTTAAACCAGTGAAACAAGTCAACAAACAAACAAACAAACTCTCCAACATTATCTGAGATGTTATCTCTTTCATTTTTAGTCACTGACTAAATGAAACACAACTAAATACTGCCCCAGCAGAAGGATCAGAGTGGGTTTGACACCTTGGGCCACCGAGCAGGAGCACAGGGACTGTTGGATCACAACTGCAAAGACAGTGAAGAGCCAGTCTCAGGGCACATCGCTTTGGCCTCCTGATTTTTCTTGTGAGCTGCAGATTGCTCCATTTCCCCTATCACTTCAAAGAAGGAAAACTACCAAAAATGTAAACGGTAAAAATGAGTGCATGAGCTCTTACAAAGAGACTATTTAAACCCTGAAATATCCCATCCTGAAAAGAGCCCTTTTTCACTTGGCATAGTGCAACTGAAAGCTGGATTTCTGAGAACTATCACATCTGTAGGAAAGGAAAATTTTCATAGTGCTTGTTCCATCAATCTGTACAGTATGTTATTTCTGGATTGCATATTCTGTGAGCAGGCTCAGGATACAGAGACAGTTTATCTTTCCTTTTCTATGAAATCTACTAGCTGATCTCAGATATTAAGTGGAAAGAAAAACTCACATCCATTGCAAAACAAAAACCCACTTCTAAACCAGCAGGTTAAATGAAGCCAGAAAACCACCCTGAATGCCCATCAGTGCAAATCACCTGGAAGCCATAAATAACAGCTTTCCAATTAACCAGCAAAGAGTATTACAAAAACATTTCAACTTGGAATAGTGCAATGTAAGTAGAACCACTTACAAAATAATTGAAGATGGGCTGAGATACACAAATAGTGGAGGTTTCCAGCTGCCCCTCGCAGCTCAGAGGTCCCTCAATCAAGCCACTTACACAGTTCAGGTAAAACAATTCAGTAGATCCTGTAGAAATGCTACAAAGGTGTCTCTATAGATAGATAAATACAATACAACCATGGCTGAGACCTCAGCTTAGAGATGGATACCAGTGCAAACACAAACATGTCAAAAAGGAGAGTTTCCTATTTACATTCAAAAAAATTCAGAAGTTCTTTATTAAAAAATACTTTTTTAAATAGTTTTTCAGACTAAATACAACAGTGTGATGTATAATATGTAAATCCTGCATCCAGAGAAATATATTTTAGGCATGCTTAGCTCTTTGTTAAGAGAGAAGGAATCTGCAGAGACTCACAGGTGCAGCTCAGGTTGCAAGAGTAGCATCAGCAAGCAAAGAAACAGCAAAGGGGAACAGGCTAACAAAAACCAAAACCATTCCTTTAAAGCTTCAGGAAAAAGAAACCCAAAAAGTTCTATGCACAGCACAGTGTTGCTAGTTTTTCCCATAATTTTTTGGGTTTGGGTTTGATCTCCGATGACTACTTTTCATCTACCTGGAGCATTCACGTCCCTTTTCCGTATGAATCTTCTGGTGCTGAGCCACAGACTCCTCTTCACTAGGATGTTCACGGACACTCTTTCCTCTTACCAACTGCTCATCTCAATTAACTCCCTGCAGCGTAACCTCCCAACCCAACAGGGCCAAAACTGACCAAAGGGTTCAAAAGTTATTTGGAAGGGGAGCGAGGCTGAGGGAGACACACACAGAGAAATTGCAGGAAGTTTCATTTTTCTCACGGAACCAACGTTGAAATCAATTTTCTCCTTCTGTATAACTGCCTCCTATCAATCTAGGATCACTAGGCAATCATGCCAAGTGGGAGAGGCAGCTGCTGTGCCTTTTCCCTGTCCTCACACACTGGGCCACGTGCAGGACCAGGGATGGAAGAGGATCCAGATCATCATGCACAAATGCACAGGGACAAGAATCTCACATTAAGACCCTGCTGACCTATTGACATAAAATATATTCCAAAAAATTAAATCTAACAAATTCAGTTTAGGTCATTGTTCTAAATAAGAATAATTAGGAAACAACAGAAAGGAGGCTTCCTGCAGGCACATCAAATGGACTTGAAAGATTACTAGAATTTCATAAGTGTTTTATTTACAGTAATTAGTGAGAAGGTGCTCAACAAGAGATGACCCAAAAATTTTACATGTGCAGCACAGCAGATCACACCACTGAGAGCAACAGATTAATTTTGACTCTGTGCAACAGTTAGGTTTGACTCTGGGTTTTACTGTAAGCTTTGATTTTTTATTTTTGTAGAAGATCCCCTTTTGCTTTAATTTTTTTCCCTGTGATTATCAGTTGGAGGTTTATAGAACCGATATTCATTTCCTGTAGATTTACTGAAGTCTTATAAATTTCTTCTGCAAGAGATTTCTTCAGCATCTGCAGTTCTTACTTTCACCTGTTTTGATCTCTGTTGCTGTTTTAATTACTATCTTACTAGTTTGTTCCAAATTCACAGGACCTAGAGCCTTACACCCATCTTTTTCTTAAAAAAATATAAAAGCTTTAGAGAGAAGGAAAATATGGATGCCATCTGGAAACTGAGTTGCTTCTGTTTTAATTTCCACACATAACCAGGCTCTGGGTATCATGTGTGTGGTTCTCATAGGTGAGGTGCAGTTTGCCCAAGCAAAACCATGGCAGGAATAGTGAATTTTGCTGTTTCCAATCGTGCACGCTTCTCCCATTCCCAAGTACTTGCAGATCAAACAGAATGCAAGAGAAGGAAGGGTTCACAGCTACTTGGTGTCCAGCCTGAAATGTGGAACAAGACATTGTGCTCAGGTTAATGTACTAATTATTCATGACAAGAAAGCAGGACGAGTAGGATGCCTTCATTAAGGAACCTAAAACATGGTAGTTTCTGACATCTTTTTTAAAGAGATTCAAGAGTTACAAGGAAACCACATCTCCACTAGTGCCAATGTGGCTCTCATAGAAATAAAGTTTAAAATATTAACAGCTTGACAGAACTCAGAAAATTAAAACTTTTAGTGAATTATTTGCTGTAAATTTTTTCTCCATAGAAAAAAAATTAATCTGCTCAGCAGTAGAGATTAGGTTAATTTTCCTAACATTTTACTGAAATAATCACCTTAATTGTAATTTTCCTTTAATTTTCATAATAACTACAGGCTCAGATCTATAGAATTTAGTAAGAATGAAATCAGCAGGGTTCCAAGGAAATGATCTTGGGATCTTTAGGTGTTGCTGTTTCTCAAGAAATTAGAAGAATAAGAAATTCCATAGCAAACATTCCATTCAAAATGATAAATTGAAAAGCCTAGCTTTTTATTAGATCCAGTCAACACTAATTATTTCTTAAGTAGACTCAAAGTGGTACAAAGCGGCTTTTTATTATCCTGTATTCATTTTCCAAATTCAACTTGACTATTCATTACTGAGATCACACTGCAAAGAATGAAATGTGAAGCAAGCCATTGTGCAAGTTTGCTAATCCTGTATTTACTGCTTGTCCACAAAAAGGTTAGGTTTTCATGTTCATAGAGGAAAATTAGTGTAAATGAAATAAATATCTGTTTAAGGGAAAAAAACCTAGAGTATTAGAAATCTGGAAAAATGAATAATTCAGAAATGCTGAAGTGCCCTCTAGGAAGGTGTTACTGGGAGAGAGTCAAAAAAACAGGGTATTTCTGGGGCTATTTTCTGTAAAACAATAGTGAAATAGGGCTACAATGTGCTTATTGCAGATCAGAGGGGTTGAAAGGCACAGGCAAATATTAGGCTGGTCCAAGTTTATAGAGGGAAAAAGGTTATCATTGCTTCTTTTGGCTAGGTAAAGCCTGTCTTGTAATACAGGGGGTGTCTGCTGTTTAAATAGAGCACAAACATCAAAGGGATAGAGGGGGAGCTGTGTGTGTTCACTAAAACAAGCAGAGATGAGAGTCAGCACCAGGTTTGCTGGGGCCGGTACGGCAAAATATATATTCCAGATATGGCACAGGGGGGACACTGCAAATATATTTGTCTCTTTTCTTGGCACACTGATGGAGACAAAATCCATTTTAAAAGCCTTTACTGGAGGCTCAGATTTATGAATTTTATAGCTTTGAGGATTACAAACCAAAAGGCAACAATGTCAGAAAAAAAACAACCAAAACCCGGGCCAATCTCCCATCCACTCTCATGCCCCCAATTCCAAGAGCAATAGTATTTGTCATTTGAGATTATGGGCTTTGGATAAATAGGGTTTGTTAACCCAGAGTGTTTCATTTGCTCAGTTTGTAAGTCCCTCGTGCATGGGGTAAAAACCAAATAGCCCTACAAAACAGCTGTGTTTGCATTTAAACAAACATTAATTGATTGAAGTAATGAGTAACCTCAAAAAATAGCTTGGAAAGTTCACAGCATCCTTCAAATGTTTGTAGACTATTAGAAATTAACTAATTTAATTTTTTATGTACTCTTTTGCTACAACTGTATCTGGAAGTAAGGGGTGGAAGGCACACCACACTTGTGTGTAATAGTTAGAAATAAAAGAAGTACGAGTTAAATACTCTCAAAGGTTTTCTTCACATTAAATCTACCTTCAGCCTCCAGTTTCCAGAGGACACAGTCCTGTTACACTTCTGCTCTTTAAGCAAAGGGAAACACTGCAGCAATAGCCTGGCAAGTGGGTCTGTGCTTGTTCTGTTACTGCACCTCCTGCAAGTGCACTGACACATCCCCCAGCTGTGTGAGCGGCTCCTGGGATTTACAGAATGTTCTCTTCAGAGACATGCGGCAAGTCCCACCTGACAGCTTAGGGAAGCTCTGCAGGAGTGGCTGGAGCCCCCAGAATGGCTGGGAAGGAAACACAGCACCCATCACTAATGTAATACTATGTATAATGTAATAATCCCAGGGCTGTCCTCAACCAGAGGAAATGAAAAGATGGAAAGGTAGAACACATTGTAGACGTGTGTTGAACCTCTTTAAAGGAATTTGGCATGCCAATGGTACATTCTATAAAACAAGACAAGAATTTCTTACTTTCTCAAGTATGACTCGTGTGATGACAGATATGACTGCCTGGACAGATTTTTCTAACTCCTTGTTCCATTAAACTCTTTCAATGGTGTATATTGTTGCCCTCTGAAAGTAACTGGCTACTTTGAAAGAGGAAATGCAATTTTTGGGACTACTTGGTTTTTAATTTATCTACTTTTATAATCATCTTACCCAAAATAAGTTACTAGAAAACTGTCTGCTATTTATTTACATTAAATTTCATGCCAGTAATTAAATTATATTCCTATAATACTTGAGCCTATTACTTCTGAGTTTTTTCTGCAGAAATCATAAGTAACGTAAAATGATCCTTTGAGCACCCCATAAATGCAATACAGGGTGATGTCCCTTAGCAAAGAATGTACTCCCTTCAGTATTTTGCTCTGTCTGTAGTTTAAGAAATATCATCTCCCAGCTGGGTGGTAGCCAGAGAAATCAGGAACTCTCTGCAAAGCATCAACATGCTCAGAAACCACTGAGCTGGTGGCAGCCAAGTCCAAAGCATGTACCTTTAATACCACATTTGTGGACTGTACACTGATTTGCTGAATAAGTTCCACTGCTTTTGAGAAAATAAAGTAGGTAATCAGAACCAGATGATGTACACAGAAGATTTATTTCCTTAGTTTAATTTTTCTAAAACACTAGGGCAGACAGTACTACTTAAAAGGATAAAAAGAAACAAAGCTGATCAAAGTTAGCTTGCAGTAATGGTAGTTTAGTGCATTAAATAAGTATTTCCCCCCAAATCAAGCCCTGACATACATGTACCTACATAGAGCTGTATGTGCAGGGAAGATAGAGCAGCAGACCAAGGAACACTTAATTAACCAAATCCAGTCAGAGTTCACTTTGCCAGAGAAGCTGTTCCTAAAATACCAGGTGCACTTCCAGTGCACTGACTTTTACTAGACCCAGTAAGATCTGGATTTTTCTCAGTCTCAGTCTCAGTCTGTTCAGTACTTTAATAGGATTAAAGTTACAAACTAGAAGACTCAGTCTTCCACATGAGTTCAAGCACATAAAGTTAGTCTAATTCAATTAACTGGGACAATTAGGTATTACTTACATACACATTTGCAAAACTCAGAGACTTCTGGATCCTTTCAGAGAGTGGAAATGAGGGTTGGAGAGGAGACAGAAATTTCATATCACGGATGTAGGCACCACAGGTTCCCAACCAGCTTCTGGTTTTCCAACACCACAAAAGGGGAATGGGCTCCAAAAGATGAAGCACATGTTACTGCTGTAAAATTGGATGACATTATTTATCTCCCCAAAGACCTGAGCTCCTACATCTACCAAAAGGAAAGCTGGACAGCAGCTCAGCTGCCTGTGCCTACAGCCACATTCAAGACTACAAACAAACACTGCTGAAGCCCATGATGTCAACCAGATGGAGAAGCTGGGCAGAGAGGACCTTTCTGATGAGCTAAAGTCTCAGCTGAGCAAACAGTGACTTGATCTTGCTCGGTTCATGCCTGTAGCACAAAGCAACAATTGAAGGTAATCAGGCATGTAGTTATATTTGTACTTTGTGTTTGCTAAGGTTGAGTTGGCTTAGAAGAATTTACGGCTTTGGAATACCAATGCATATCTATAGATGCTTTTTCACATTTTCCATGATAAAAATACTTCTCTATCTCCAAGCATATGGAATGAAGCCTTTCTCAGAATCATGACAGAATAGGTTACTTCATGTCCCTGGGCTCCAAGTACCACACACATTACCTGACACAGCAGGAGCTGTTATCTACTGCAGGAGCTCCTGACAAGGAGCTAAGGCTTGTAAAGGCAGCCTTTACAACCCTTGAGGGAAGCTCCAACCATTTCATTCTAAAAGAAAAATTATATCACACACCCACAGACCTGAAAGTGAGGCTGCCACCAAAAGGATGGGGACTCCCGCTTCATGGCACTGAAATCATGTGTAGTTTGATCTAAACTTTCTGCATCCTTAAGGAATCTGGCACAAGGTGTCACTGCAATATTTCAGCACTCAAGGAATTTATGAATCATAAATTATGAACAATTGGGAAGAAAACCCCAAGTCCTTGAAAAGCCTTAGACTGTGTCAGGGAGTTAGTAAAGACTTGTTTCTTGGGATATTTTGGGTAACTACCGGCATTAATGCACAAACTGGGGATTCTCTGCTGGAGAATTAAGGATCCCACTGAGAAACTTGTTCCATGTATCCTATGGTTGAAAGGCTTATAAACCTATACCCTTTTAAAAAAAGATGAGAAAAAAAGCTGTTCTGTATTTATGTAAAGGATTAGAGAAATCTTGTACTGGGTGACAAAGGCCTCTTATTGCATATCCAGCTGGAGGCACCAGTGCTTGAATGAGCAGCAATGCCTCTAAGCACACTGGTGGTGTTTAAATACATAAGGTTTGCATTTCTGGAGAAACTAAAGCAATCCGAATTTATAATCACAAACTTACATAGTAGACAAATAGTGCTAGATTCAAATTTCATATGAAATCAGACAATTTTGAGGCCATATATCCCAAAGGCTAAAGCTAAAATCATGATCCATAACTACTTACACTACTGAGAATGCTGACCTTGCATGGGACAATAATGTTGCTCCGGACAGTATGCCAAAGCAGTTTGGTGTAATCTTTTCTAGATTTTAATTTCTCACACATGGTTTTGAAATTCATATTCTGCCACATGAAATATCTTGTCTTTTAATAAATGAAAGGTGAAAAACATGCCAAACTTTGCCTTAATTCTAAGAACATATTCATCCAGATCAAAATCATATGATTTGAGGGTCATTTTTATTCCTTAACCATTACTCGTGGTCATTGAACCAGTCACAAGTCACAGCAGTTCTCGCAGTACCTAAAGTGGTGAGAAAGCTGACACAGCACATAAGCTGTGGCTTGGACTGCTTACAAAAGGGGATCTTTCATGCTTAGCAATCCTTGCTTGTGCAGGGAAAGGACAGTTTGACTGACCACAGAAAACAAAACAACTATTGAGTAATACACAGTCTTCATTTTAGTGCTCCCCTGTCCCATTTTAACATGGATTTTTTTTTCCAGTTTTTCCATTAATTTTTCTTACCTCCCTTATTTAATTCTTCTGCTAAAGAATGGATTACACAGTAGATTAAGTAAGGGATTGTTCTGTTATTTAAGTGGAATATATTCCCACAAAGGCCTCTGGATCCACAGAAACTGCCATAACAAGAAACATAGACAATCCTTAATAGTTTTCTTCCTACAAAGTACACCTTGTGCCATGTGGCCTCATCCTGCAGAACTGTCTATAAAAGCAACTTTTGTCCAGGATAAAATCTACTTTTTGAAAAAAAAACCCCACTCAAAAATAACTGAAAGAAAGCATGAAGTGGGCCTTTTACTGAGTGTTTTTATCTTCAACTTGTGATCTCTGATAACTGTATGACTAAGAAGAAAATATACCTTTTTTATTTAAAACATGTACCTGTACCAAGGATTTTATAGCATGTTTGAGTTCCAAAGAGGAAAGACATTCAGAGATTAACAACATATACATCTCTCAAACTGCATTTGGCTAAATTAATCACAAAAGTAGCTTTAGAGTGTCTGGGGCTAATACAAAACAGGAAAAGTATTTCCTTCCTCCAGCTCCCCAGAGCTGGCTTCCTTCATGGGACGACATGTATTTAATGGGGCTGGGTGTGGAGGCAGCTCTCTTGCCCTCAGCAACACCACGTAGCCAGCCTGACCCAAAATCCATTGTGAAGGAGAAAAAAAAAACCCAAAAAAGCCCAACAAATAAAACAAAACAACAAAAAACAAACAAAAAACCAAACAAAAAAAATGCAGAACATGCAAATTCACCCCATCCACCACTGAAGGAGAATAAGGAAATTATGACTTTCACTAGGTTCTAGTTGCTAGAAACAATTTAAATTTTCAAGTTTTTCTGTCCCTTACTATGGAAATTAGCCCTCAGATAGAGCTGCTGAGGGGTGAGGAGTGGGAGAACTGGAATATACAATGGGGTTAATGGAATATATGTTATTCCCCTTGGATTTGACTCCAGCAAGTCTCTCAGCCTGAACAAACAAGTCAGTCTGAAGGCAGGCAGAGATGTCTAAGGCAACTGAAGACATAAGAAGAAAGCACACTCTTTCAACTGGACTTCTTAGAGACTCCACTTTTATTTCTCTTCCCTAACACCACTCTTGGCCTGGAAAGAAATGCATCTTGCTAAAGAATCAAGAGTCTGTAAGTAGAAAAAGATAACATGGAGGTTTAAAGTAAAATTATAAAATAGAAATGTTAACAGAACTGAATTGCAAAGAAGTAAATACTAAAAAGAAATATTTATTTGTTGGTCCTGACTGGGATTTTACCTGAGATGAAGGTTTGGGGCTGAGGAGAGAGGATTCCCTGTCCCTTTGCCCATGTCAGTCACACAAGCAGGAAGACACAGTTATTTATCTGCAAGAGCTGACATCCTTGATCTGGCTGTCACTGGTGCAACAGCAGCCTAGAAAGCAAAATATTTCTGCTGCCTCAGCTCCTGACCACGAGGCACTAGAGTATAATAGAAAACAATTTTTGCCTTAGTTTTGTTCTTGGACATAATCAGAGCCTAATTACATATAAAAACCATCAAGTCTAAAGAGCCCTTTATAAAGGGCTGTGAGGCAAATGTAACACTGAAAACCAACAGCACTCACCTCTTGTCCTAGGGAGGCACCCAGCTTCTTGAAAGAACTACAGACATAATAGCTCAAATGGGAAGTTTAGTGTAAATTCATTATAGAAGTGAAGCCATTTTAACCTTTCCAGAAAACAGAAACAGTCATTTCATATGAGTTTTGGACTGAGCATAAATTTCAAAAGTGAAATGTTCACAACCAGCATTCTGCAAATAATGTGCAGAAACAGCAATTTCATGGACAGAACTAAGAGTCCCACAGTACAGGAGGGCCACTGTCACCATGGTGACAAACTGTACACAGTTACACCAAATGATCCCTGACAAAGTTTCAAGCTGTTCTACAATCCAATCAGCACAAATAAAATAATATTACAGTTCCCATTTTTTCACTAGTTAACTAACTGAACTATCCTTTTGAGGAAGAAGTAAATTGGCTAACGTGGATCAAAAAATTTGGGTTATTTATGTTCAACAGTTGTCTCTGTTGATAGAGTCTTAGAGTAAAAATATTAATTTTTTTAGTATGAGTAATCCCATTTCTGCTTTTAATTAATTTTCCAAGTATTCTAGTTGTATCATAAGGGGGATAGCAAACAACCTGTTTGGAAAGTTTAATCTATTAAATAAAAGACAACAGGCCTGTTTTTTCAAAACTCTGACCCAGAGGAACAATACAAGCTGCAAAAAGGGTCCTGAGAGACAAAATTATAAAATACAGGATTAGATCACCCAGACACTTCAGCTGAAACACTTGGAGATACATCAGACCACAATCACACTGCAATTACACAGCTGTTAAGGTGTAAAGATGACTGCTTTTACAATTCTCTGCAAAAGAAGAAGGAATTGGTAATCATTCTTCTTTTGAGACAGCAAACCATATTTTCTTTCTGGCAAGCAGCTGAATTATTAATGTTTGTAAAGTATGTCAAGATCTATCAATAGAAAGTGTACCAGGAGCGGAAAACACATCACCACCCATGTGTTACAGAGACCTCCGTTAACTTCACTCCTTTGAAATCCAGTTTGAATTGAGAGCTACATAAAACTTTGATGTAAAGCAAATAATTGTTCTGCTTAAAATACAAGCTGGTTTTGTGCTTTGAAGATGTGTGGCAGTAAAGAGAGGGAAGTCACAAATGATTTCCATGGGAAACATATGACTCCACTGCACTCCTATCATTGCTCAGACATCTACTCCTGGGTCTTCTGATTACACTGTGAAAGGATGTGAAACCTCAGAAGTATTATTTTTGTATATTTTTACATGTCATGAGCACAATGAATTTGCTTGCTCCCAGGGGCAAATCATAGAGCATGCTTATTGCTGGAATCAGAACGCACTAAACTCAGGTTTTGATCTATTAAAATAGGCTATTTACACCAAAGGTTTCCTTTTTGAAGAAACTTCCCTTCTAAATTATCAAAATCTTTTGCACTTATAGAGTTTGATGGTACCTATATGCTTAGATGAGGTTGCACTACTATGCATGGTGCACATACTGTGGTTTTGGTACTAAAGTGCAAAAGCTGATCTAGCATAACCCATTTTCCTTTGAACATGTAAGTCTTCACCAGAGACATCCACCAAACTCTTCACAGAAATCCACATTCCCTGTTTGCAGAGGCAAAAGTATTTTCGAGAGTTACAAAAAAAATGCATTTCTGATGCTGTAGTAAAATAAATTGAGCAAAAAATAACTTTCATTCACCAAAAGGCAGAGAAAATGCCTAAATTTAGCAGATGACAGGTAAGCAAATTTATTCCTACAGCTCTGTATGCAGACAGAATAGGATTTTGCATACCACACTGGATTTTGTCCCGTTCATTTTACACCACCCACCTGTCAAGGTGTCTGAAGAGAGATCTTTGCAACATTTTTTGCTCAGAGCCTCTTACATAGCCATTCCACAGCTGCTGCCTGCCATCCCTGCCTTTCTGGCAAGTGTCTGCATCATGTAAAAATTACTTTTGGCCCAAAACACTATTTCTACAAAACCAATTTTTAATCAAAATTTCATTTGAGAATCCCTTCTTATCCTAGAATCTGAAGTTACTTGAAACTAATATCATGCACATATTTATGACTCATTAAATATTCCCTCATTAAACCTTCCCTTTTAAGTTGGTCTGGTTTGATTTTAAGCCTCTCTTAGGGGAAAAAAGCGACTTCTCTGAAACAGTGCAAACAAGAGGTAGGGGTTCATTCTAGACCACATGCAAGGTGAAAGAGTGCATTAGCTCTTTTCAAGGACAAAAATAGAGATCATGTGAGGAATTTGCCAACTTTCCATAGATAGCCAATGGACAGTGATTTAAGTTCCTAATTGCATTTCTGTTTTGCCAAGGACAGGGGAAAGAGAAGGACTTCAAGGAAATGAAACTCTGAATGAAATCACAAGTATCAGCATTACATCGGCAATATCTGTGTTGAAAAACATGAGTCTTTCTTTCTAAACACAGAAAGAACAGCAATATTCTAACATGTGACCCTGAGGTAAAGGGCACCACATGAATTTTCCGGTTCATACAGAATTAATGTTCTGGAGTTGACAGATGCCCATATTAGAAGGCACAGTAAGCCCTCCTGATGCTGGATAGGCACTGGAGCAGGCCGTTCAGTGGCTAATGCATCACAACCTTGGAAAAAGCAGGTGAATCTGCTCTCCAGCACTATTTTCTTATCAGTGTCTCTATGGAAGACATTTATTTCATGGCTGAGGTGAAGTTCATTACGTAAATTAAGCACAGACCTGGTAGACTGCAGATGGTGTTTTACATTGCTGACCTCATAACCACATATTTCCAATGTGCATAGAAATGTTCTACTGTACCCTGCATCTCTCTTCAAGGAAAAATTTCCACTATTTTGTCAGTAAATTAGTATCCAAAGCCTAACAAAATATAATCAAGACTACTGATTTTCCTTTAAAATTAGCTTAACATTTTCCAGTTATAGATACACTATGACAGGACTGTGGCCCAGGAACTGAGCCTATGTCACACTGTGTTTAGAGATGCAATGTGCCAGGGAGGATAGAGGGGAAAGTGGGGATGGTGTGGGCAGGAGCTCTGAGACATTTCTTAATAAACCCCTTTAAAGTGCTACTACTTATGTCAAAGTCCAGGGGAGGAAAAAGCACAAGCTTGGATATCAAGCTGAAGATGTCCAGCAGGTCTGAATTTCAAAGTAACCTTTAAAGGTGGCTGACTCCCAGTGCATAGAGAGCTTTTGTATTCACTCTGTTTGAGGGCAAGACAGCTGAAATTTCTACCTTGTCAGTAGTTTTCAGGTAGAAGTTACCAGAATCCAACAATTTTCTGTTGTTTTTCTGCAAAGGGTGACGAACAACAATAATCTGTTCTCAAAACATGAGACCTTCTTTTACAGTGCTGGTTATTGCAGAAAATTTTTCTCGTGTCCACTCCTGTACCTCAGCCAGTCTGGACCCAGACTGTCTGGAAAACTTAGATTTTTCACTAGCAGTCTCTCAACTTAAACTGTGCAGTTTTCCTGGCTTTTGTTTAACTCGGGAAACAGAGCCAATAAAGAGCACTGTTACAGGCAAAGGGAGAACTCATTATTTGAGTAGGAGTGCCACAAAGCTTAAATCATTCTAGTGATTGTTTCCTATCATTCCTTGTGTGTGAAGCCTAACTTAGAAAAGAAACTTGAACCTGCAAAAAATTTTAAAATCCTAGCAAGCAGATTATAACTATTTTACCTCAAAGCAACAAATTGCTTCCTACTTAAGGTTATACATTATTGTGTTCTGCAAGAGCAGTTTTGTGACTTGATAATCAAAATTCAGGTTTGTGATATTTAATGCAATTCAAAATATGTATTATAGTAATAAACCTGTCTGACAGTAGAAAACATACATTTCCTGACCCTGTGAGAACTTGTAGTCTGCAGTCAGAAAAGTGGACTGTTACTCTGTGATCAGATCTGTAATTGTGATTCTGATATACTTTACCAGTAAGACAAGCAAGGATTTTAGTTCCTTCTCATTACTAAAGGTCCATGCAGGGAATGTGTGTAAAGTGCTTGATGCAATATTTAATTTTAAAAATTATTATAAATTAATATTTATATTTAAATAAATTAATTATAAATTGAATTAATTAAATTATTATAAATTAATATTTAAATTTGAAATTAATGTTTAAAATTAAAGCTTACCTGAAAGAAATAAATAATTAGACCTCAAAGAAACAGACTTAGCACATTTGTGGCATTCAACCTTTAAGTTTATATCCTTCTCATTCGAATAATAAACATTTTCAGAATCCAAAAATGAAGTTGAGTGGTAAAGGCATTTTTTTTTTATCTTTGAAATGCTGGAAGATCCTGTACAGATTTTTCCCCATTTTTATTAAACACTATTTAATGCGTTTACATCACATCCAAGTGACGTGATTTCAGTGCTTACACCAAAGGGTGTTTGATTTTCCAGGCAGCCAGAACCACTGGCATGTAACAGTTTGAGTAACAGGATGCTTCACACAGAAGAATAAAGCTAAAGCAAGTAAAAGCAAGGCACATCTCCCTCCAGAAGCAGTGTGTGTTGGTAAGGGACTTTCTTACAAGGAGGTAAAAAGGCTGTCACCACCTAGGAATTTCATGAACGACTTTGCTAAAATAATCTGAAACAACTGCAAGATACTGTAAAATAATTACCTTTACCAGTGTTTCTGTCTAACAGAAGGACCTGTTTGTAGTGTTTGAAGTTTCCAACCAAATTTCAATGCTTAAAGAATTTCTCAAGGAACAAACACAGCAGTTCCAAGAGCATAGTTGTAGTTTTTTCTCTATTAAAAAAATATACAGGTACAATGTCAAACGTCCTCCATCAGCTTCTTGGAGCTAAAGCAGGGAGATGTTCAGCACAGCTGTGGCAAGGCTCCAGCAGTGGTAGGAGGAAAGCTTTGTCCTGCCTGCCAAGAATGTCAGTGATGGAGAGCAGTGAGCTGAACTTTGCCTTACATAGTGGCTGACAAGGCCAGAGGTCTGCACAGCTTTCATATTTTCATTTGGCTTTACTTGCTTACAGAACTGTTAACTCTGTGGGAATCCAGGGGAAAAAAAGCTTTCATTGTAAGTAACTAATTCACACTGTGCTAAGCCTGTAGTCAGAGGTTGGCTTTCATTCT